TGAGTAATGGTAACGCAAAAAAACGCTACTCGTTATGAAAAATATTAAAAAAAGAAAAACATATTTATTGTACTATAAAATAAAACTAATTAATATTCAATCAAAATTCTAAGTAAATGTGAATAATATTATTTCTATTTTATAATTTATTTTAAGAATATTATGTCCATAATACTTCTTCAGATGAAGATTGTCTGTCCCTAATTTGAAACATATTTTACACCAATAAAGAAAATTAAAGGTACAATACAAAGTCTACACTTTGTAAATGTAAATTAAGTCCCAACACAAATATTTGAACCTCAATGTCCAGTAGTTCAAACTTAAAAAAGCATATGAAGGTAGAAAGATGAATTAATATATTATTATTTTAAACATTACTTTAAAAATAGAATATTAAACATGGGTATTATAAAATAACCATTAAAAGAAGTTTTCTTTCATAATATTTTGAAAAATTTAATCATGAAATTAAAATATAAGCAATTAAATTATACTATAGTATAGTGCTGGGAATCAACATTAAAAACCCAAGATCGACAAAATATTTATATTGGTTCAAAAAATTATTTTGGATTCTTAAACAATATCTTATATTTCTCGTTTTAGTGTTGCTATTGGTTTAACTTCAAATTGTTAATAAATTTAAAGAATAAAATAGTGATTTAAAAAAAAGTTGTTTAAATAAATATATATAAATAAAGTGATGAAGCAATATTGTTTTAGAGAACTGAAACTAGATATTTTTCCTAATTCCTTTTTAAATGATAATTATTCCTCAAAAGATTAATGAACATTTAGAGAAAAAAATTTGAAGTCAATCAACTCACACTCATTGAGATGTAGAATCCATCTGGCTACACCCAGACACTCTTAAGAGGGTTTCAGCCTGCTTAGCTTGTAAAATAAACCAAAAACACACATTTGATTGTCTAACAAAATTTTTTTACCACATATAAGATACAAAATAAAGTGACCAACATTACCGACAATGTTAGAAATTATATAAAAGCTTTCAAGTAAAAAAATTATAATATATTTATTAAAATTTTTTAGTGTATGATCTAGGAGAAGAATCGGATGATGAAATATTCATCTGCCATTATTTAATCTATTTGACAATCAAAATACCACTGATAGTATTATATACTTACCTAAGCATCATTCCAGTTCAGCACACTTTGTTGTGTTGACATTCAAAGACAGGTAAGGATGTTCATTTTAAAACCATTTCAAAAATTATAAATAAACATGGGCAATCTTCAAACTGTTAAGCAAGTAAAACATAGGAAGATATCTGATTAAACCAGTTATAACAAGATAAAACTCTTTTTATAACTCCGTGAAATTAATAGATATTCATATTAAGGAGAATTGCCAAAAATGACAAATCTTGTGATAAATCTGAATAACAGAGATTTTCAGATAACGACAAGTAGTTCATGGATAAATATTGTATGGTTATTAATTAAGAAATATGATATGTTATATATGATTTTATAGGTTATGGAACCAATTGCTACGGATCTTTCAATTTTAAAAAGCGAAAAAAATGCATTTGTGATATCTTACTCTCATGATAACTATTATAATATTAAAACCTAAAAAATGGCTTTAAATAATTTTAAGTTTTGTAAGCCACTTATTAAATTCAATCCTGGAAGGCATATAAAAAAGATATAGTCTTTTCAAATATTGCTTACACTCTATATTTTGATTACCTTATATTTTCAAATTCAAACACATCTTATAAAGATGAATATACACTATCCGCAATAATTCACCCATATTTAAATTGGATCGGCCCTGGATAAAATTAGAGGTCAACAAAGGAAAAATGCTAGAACTTTCCAGTTTGAGAAAAAACTTTGATAAAGAAAGAGCTGACTTAAGTCCTTTATCCAACACATATACCAGAATATTTTCTGATAAAGATAAAAAAAAAATTTTAATGATGAAATGAATGAAGATCCTTGTGAAGATGATCTATAAGTTTTTTTCAAAATAAATATAATTCTTAATATTTTTAAAAAAATTCCCCGAATTAAAAATTTTATTTATACAACTCTCCCATCCTCTGCGCCAATTGAACTTGTGTTTAGCACTGCGAAAACTGTGTTGAGCACTAAGCACTCTTGTTTGTCTGATCAAAATTTTGAAAATCAATTGTTGCTAAAATAAATAAAAAATTGTTGCAAAAAGATGTTATCTTATATATAATACATTATTTTTGTATAATTTTATTTATATTATAATTATATATATGAAATTTAATTTTATAAAAAGATCTTATCATATTATATATTCTTTTTGAGTAGTTTTATTTATATTATATAATGTAGGAAAAAATAATTTTTTTGTATATAATATATAATTTTTTAAGTAACGAGTAACCCGTTACTTTTTTGAATAGTCAGTAACGCGCGTTCCTATTTTTTAAATTACATAACTAATAAAACAATATTTTTATCATTTAATATATAAGATCATTTTTTTGTATATGATTAATTTGATAGTCTTTTGAACTATACAATATGGAGTGAGAGATAAATATTATTAATATATTTTGATTTTATGTAATTTTATAGGTAGACTTTTGTGAGAAGTCTCAATAACGACGGCAGTTTTTTTAAAATTTTTATCGGTGTTTAACGGTGCGCCGATTTAGCAGCCATCTAATAAATTGGGTGCTGCGGCGTCGATGGCACTGCATATTTAAAAATAAATTTTCTTTATAATTCATTGTATTAAATTTTTTATAATATATTTGGGCCACTTAGTTATAAGATTGTTAGTATAGTTTAGTTCTTAAATTATTTTCTGTCCCACTCCTAAATAAACTTATGTATTTCTTATTTTCCGAAATAGACTTAGGAATTGCCTTTTTAGTCATGGTCACGCTAACATATGTAATGTTCTGTCTATTTTTATTAAAACAAATTTGGAATGAAAACAAAATATAAAGTAAGAAATAAATAAATTAGAAATCAAATTTAGTTAAATTATAATTGTCGTATAAATATTATTTTGTAGAAATTGATGGGGCATAAATAGGTTCTTTTAGCATTAAGTATTAATCCAGTGACGGAAAAGCATTTCGCTAGGTGTACTGGTTACAGATTACTTTTCCTAGCTAAATTAGCAAGTGTAGGAAGTTCGAGTCGCTTTTTCCCCAAAAGGTTAGCGCATACTGTTCTGGAATAGTATGTGGGCCTAGTAAAATGTGGCATCTTGATCTAGTTTGCTATTATTATAGTAATTGTTTGTAAATATTTGTTGGCTATTTTAGCTATATACGAATTGGATTTTTAGCCATTATCTTTAACTTGAATCTGACTCTCTGCATTTCTATGATGCTTTAGAAGTTTTAAATGTCTAATTAAAATTGCAATGATGCCGTAAAATTAGAATTTAAATATTCTGAAATAATTTATGATCTTGAAATCTTTATCAAATATTCACTCATATCTAATCTTCAAAATATTTTAAATAAATGTTTATTAAATAAAATAAATTAAGGTCGGTAATTGGAAACCTATGATCTAGTTTTTTTGCTTTTCTTTTAGATAAATGATATCTAAGCTTCAGATTTATAGATATGTATATATGTTTCTACTTCAGTAAGAAATAATAAACAAATTAATTGTTGATCCTTTTCGGGAGGAAAGAAATTCTAATTTAGTAAATGTGAATAATTCGCCGAGATCCATTTCGTTATAAAAATTTTAAAATTGTTTACCTATTTTACTTAACATATTATTTATAGGGCTTTTGTAGAAACCATGGATACTTTCTAGCTTAATATTCTGTTCCAATAGATAGGGCATTTTGATTTTAAGGTTTTCGTATTAATTCAATTTGATGAATTGCAATAGGTCTTATTATGTACTATTACACAATTCATATTTTATTAATAATATTCAGATTTAAAAAATAACAATTTAATATATAATATAAATTAATATCATTTTAAATTTCACATTCCGCACCATTGCCATAAAAAAAATCGGCAACGCTTCCGAGGAGAAAATTTTGGCGGCGCCGGCCACACACAGTCTCTAAAATTATATTTCTCTCTTTCTCTTTTAAAATATCTTTTTGGGTTATCATGAAAAGATAAGGTCAATTTTAAATGTCAAATTACGGAATATAACATTTTAAAAAGGGTGATATTAATTAAGTTTTTTTGGGCTAGCTATGCTATTTTAAATTATTAGTTTCAAAGTTTAAAAAATATTTGAATGGTAAAAATATGTAGTTTTAAAATTAAATTGTTTAGTTTTACATTAAGATTGCTCAGTTTAAAATTCAAATATATAGAATTTAAATAAAATATACACAATTGAATCATTAAAGTTTTCTACACAAAATCGATATTCCTATTCCAAACAAATCAATCAATTGTTGATGACTACAACTTGACTAAAACATATCTTCAGATACCATCCAGTCAATATTATAGGCATTTCTAATTTATTTTTAAAATCCCAAGATGACAAAATATCTTACCATTGGATAATATTATATTTCGGTCATTAAATAATTTAAAATATTTATAAAACTTAAAAATAACGAGTCTATCAAATCAATGGATGATTTTATCTAATAAATATATCTGTCATTTTGGGATATGAAATCTCTCAATTTTATATCAATTATTGAAAACTATTTTTATAATTTGAAAAATCTGATTTATAGGAAATGAATTATAGCATGTGTAGAATACCTAAAAATTCAAACAATAGCCATCAATTTTTGGGTATTTTTAATTTATATGAAAATTTTATATAAAAATGGATATAAATTAAAAGTAATTCGATAATTCTAGGCAAAATTTATGGAATTCACAGTGAATACACTTCCGATCAAATCAGATATAAAAATTACTCTCAGTAATAATTTAAAATTGAGATCTCAAATCCTAATGAATTCCATATCCCAATATACGATATATTTATTATTTATATTAATATATAATTTGAAATAAATAATATTATTACATTCCAATCACGAATATCCTCAGGTGGTATAAAGGGTGTAATATTCTCGTGTTTGGTAGGAAGAGGTAAAATAAGGTTATTGTAATTTATAGCTGATTGAATAAATTCGGTTGATTCACTTTCATTTCCTGTTGTAACATAGGAGGCGTCATGATCATTCGAAGATATCGGTATTATACATTGTTGAAACTTAGGAGTTATAGTTTTTTTTTTGTTACCATTGTCAGATAAATCGTGTAAAATATTTGAAACCTTTTATAAGTCATTTATTATAATAGTGAGGAATTATTCGAAAAAAAAATATAAATTGCTTTATATCCAATATATTATAGAAAAATTTCATTTGATTAAATAATATTATCTGCATTAAAGATCTGCAGAGCCTGGCCCGCTTGAAAGCCTGGTCCGCCAAATTCAAAAAAAAGATGATAATAGATCGGGTAAAAAAATCTAACATACCAGACAGGAAAATTTGCCCATTAAAAATAGCTTTGCAAATCTCGGATTCGTAAAATTTTATAAGTCCAGCAAGGGTATTAAAATTGAAAATGTAATATATTTTTTTGAATTTCAACTAATATTTTGATTAATACTATTAAATATAAATTACAATATGCTAATTTCTTTGTATTTTAAATTGCCTAACTAAAATACAAAATCTATTAATAAAACATATTAGATTCACAAAAAAAAATGAAATAATTTATTTATATGATACAATCACAAATGTACAATAGATACAACCATAATTGATTTACAAAATGATTGTTGTAGAAATAGCCATTTAATTGATATTGGGGAAAAATTATAATATAGATATTAAAAATATGACGGAGTTTTCGCAAAACGTTAACGGGCCGGGCTGAAAATTTAAAATAAACTATAATGAGCCAAGCTTGCAAAAAAATTTCGGTCCGAACAACTTGTGCAAAAATTCATAACGGGTGAAGCGGGTCGGGCTTTATAGATCTCGAATCTATAATATGCGCAATATAAATTTCGAAAATAAAGTTTATATTAGTGATCTGCACCGGGCCTAATTTTTCAAGCCCGGCCCAAATTTATTTAAATATAGAAATTAATTTTTATAATTACTCAAAAAAACGATATATGTTATATAGAGTCTACTTTCTATAAATAAAATCACATTATTTTATTTTACATGAAAAATTCAACATAAAATTAATAAATTTAGATATATTTAAAAAAAATTTTAAGGCCCGACCCGGCCCGAATTTTCTTAAAAATATTAGGCCCGGCCCGAAGCCCGCCCCCCCCCCGCCTTTGGCTATAACACTGGATATGTTTATAAATTTATTTTCCCTTATATGCTAAAGATCACTAAATAATAGAATGTAACGGCATAAATTATTTTTAAATAAATATATTTAAAAAAAAGACAAATTAACATGTTATTAGAAAAAAATATAATTCAGGCCAGGGATCCGAACCAAAATTAATATCTGTCGCATTAATAAAAAATAAATTTGATTTATCATAATTATTTTAAAAATATTTTTACATTTTGACTAGTAGCTTTTCCATCATTCACGATACACGTATCAATAATCGTAGATTCTTCCTCGCTTTTTTGAGCATCCATTTCCTTCCCTTTACCCCATTTTATAACTTTGTTTTCTAATATCAAATATTCATATTTATAAAATGCCATTTTCAATTTATACAAATATCCCAAAAAAATAAAAAAAATACAATTCATTAAGTGCACACTTTTCTAATACAACAAAATAAAAAATATTTATAAAAAAGTCATTTCGATTAAAAATTAATAATTTCCTCTAAAAAAACGCAAAAGCCAACAAAGCTAATTATCATCGTGATTGACGCTCGTGTCGATTCAAATAATAAAGGTACTGGATAATAAAAAAAATTACAAACTATTATTACAAGAGGGAGGAATTTTAATTTAATTTCGCACATTTAAGATATCAAATCTTATTAGGTTGTAGGGGTAGGACCGATTTTAGTTTTACAATACCAATATAAAATTTATTGTTGGTATTGGTTTTACAACCAATAACCTAAATAAATTTATTTAAATATTGTTTTAAAAGCAATATAAACCAATCCATAATGTAAAATAAATACATAAATAAATGAAATTATTAAGTTTTTTGTGGATCAATATATCACCGTTAAATTTAATTTCTTCCTTTCAATTTCCCAATTAAACTTATTACATGCAATATTTCTTTAGTGCAACTCTTACTACTAGTTCACTATTTGTGAGTGTATAATGTGTGCAAAAGTTTTGCCATATTTGGCTGTTATGGTCGCCCTAGAGGCATTAAATAAACCTGTAAAATAAAAAACAAAATTTTATAAACTGGATAAAATATATCTTGACCAAGAGTAAAATTTTCCTATTTTTGGATATTCCAATTAGTTGGAAATTCAACTTACCAAATGTTTGAAAGTGCAATACTGCTTAAAGCATATTTAACAATATATATTAACCGATTAAAAAAATGAATAAAATTATATTAGCACCTTAGCCTGGAATAATGTATAAATTTATCGAGAATTTATGAAACCATTTAAGCTACGGAGATGGCCTAATGTGCAAACACTCCATCCATTTCAAGTATTATACCTCTATATTTTAGCAATTTTAAATATATTTAGTTATAATAATAATCCTAATGCTATTTTCCAGCGGGTTTTAGCTGCTTTTGCTAAACAGGATAAATATTATCATTAATATAAACATATATATAATATCGACAATGATTGATCTAGCTATAAAGTATCAAGCCGCTTATTAAAAGATAATCCTTTAATCGCCCTCATTCTCATAAGATATCTAACGGAAGAATATGATATGTATAAAATAAATAATAATTACAATTTAGATGAACGTGGATTTTTTTTTGATAAAATATTTCAGGCTGAAGAAAGTTATAGTAGTATATTGATGAAGCCACCGTTTATAAAAATGTAAATTCACTGGACTGGTGAAAATTACATCAAAATATATACTAATATTTTAGAAAATTTCCAGTTATCTGGCAATTCCAGCTATCTCAACTAGTTCTGAAAGGGCGTTTTCAGAAGGACTTTATGTTATAATAAACCAATGTTGTTGATTATATGAACATACTATTCAAACTTGCCTATGCCTAAAGAATTTTTCCTTGTATTAAATTCCTATCAATCTTTTGCACTCTATTTAATGCAAATAGACAGTAATATATATTTTTTCAATTTGCAATATTTTTGTATTAAATATAAAGTTTCAAAAGACGTGTTTATTTTTTTGTTTGGTATCCAGAGGTGTCGCTAGCATTTTATATGTGGGTACTAAAAGGTGCTAATTTATTTTTAAAAGAGGTCTAATAAATACTCTAATATATAAATTTTTGCGGGGTTCGACTCCCCTCTTTCGTCCGGGTTATATTTATAAATTTACTATAATTAACTACAATATACATAACCAATAAAAAATCCTAAAATAACCCCAATTTATCAAAAAATCTAGAAAATATTACTGATTTTTTTCAGAATTAAAATACCCTAATTCAATGATGAACATTAAATTAATTGAAGCACAATTAGACTTTATTTCATTTTGATATGTAGGATCATTCAATAGAATAATTCTTTTTTCATATAATATCTTTTGTTGTTCATAATTTTATTTTTTTTTAAGGCGAAAGGAACAAAATTATAACAATAAAGATAAAAATTATTTTAAAATTGGGGGTCACTATTTTTTTAAAAAAAGGTGCTAATCTATTTTCAAAATTGGTGCTAATTATAAAAAGATGGATACTTTAGCACTCAAGGCACCTAGCTAGCGACGACCCTGTTGGTAACGGTTTGTTGCTATAAAAAATTTATAATTAAATTAAAAATTTTCAGCTTAATTTCATTTTTCAGGATTTTGAATCCTCATTTATAAACAGGACTCGGACCAAGGTTGGTTCTCAGCCCTGTTTTTTCCAAACAGAAATACCTCATGGTTAACTTTCCGTGACCATATTTAAATACAATTAAGGGTTTTAAAAATCACTAGTCATTCTTTCAATTTATTATTAATTTAAACCAATACGAATACAATATTTTGTTAATCTTTGGCTTTTATTATTGGTTTTGTGTCCAAAGCTTGTTTCAAAACTTTTAGGTAGACTAATCTTAAAGCTAGTGTCGTTAAACCAATTAAGATTTTAGCTAAAATAATAATATGTTAGCCTCGAGATTTTTCAAATAGATGTCCAAACCTTTCTGTCATTTATGAGCAAAATCTCCGTGTTTACATAATTTTATCTAAAATCTTAATCGGGTTGTTTAACAACACTACTTCAAGCTATGAAAATAAATGTTTTGGCCATATTTTTTATTTATAGTTAAAAAAGGCTGATCGAGTGTTCAATAATGTTTATAAAATTGTAAAAAAAGGTCAGAACGAGGAGACAGTTGTTTATTTCGTTATTGCTTCGATAGATTGAAAAATAGAGGTTATATTATTTATTTATTAAAAATAAAAAATATACATTTCCAAATAAAATAAATCTTTTTTGTTGATAAGGAAAGAGACTAGTTCTAGTAGAGGAGGGAGTTAAAGAAACAATTGATATTAAAAAGAGAAATTGTCTTACAATTATTTATAACTTTTAAGGTAGGTTCAAGGTTACCATTACTCCCCATTGATGATAGACTACTATATTAAAAAAATTAAATACAAAGGAGCGGGCTGACCATATATAATAGTAGGACAGGTCTCACGTGGAAAAGAATATTTTGGGAACATTAGGAGACCACAACAATATATCACAGGCTTCTTTGAGCCCCAAAGAAATATTAGATTAAGTTATTAAATGCCAAATCGATCACGATTAGGACGATCCCTTTCGAATTTTATAAAAAATTCGTATACAAACTATGTGGGTAAAATTTTAGCTTTTTTGATTTATATTTTTGGATATATCTAAGGTCAAATTATAAAAAATTATCTTTTTTGTGAAATTATGTAATAATTAAGTTAATGATTGATTAAAAATTACGCAATTAGATATAATAAATAGTATCACATCAATTCGGCGAGTAAAACTCGGCATGGTGACAATCTAGTGCAACAACAATTTGGCGCGCATCTAATGAGCTGCAATTCAATTAAAAGTCATTCTTCTATGAATATAAAAATAAATTAATGGCATTTATCAAATTAAAGTGGTTGTTGATGGTTGAACGCTGGCCCTAATAATTGAATACGGGATATAAATGTCCTTGACAAAAAGACATTGGACATAAATACTCCCGGATAAAATAACATCGGACAAAAATACCCCAATTTTAATAAAAAAAATTTAATGCTTAGGAAAAAGGGAAAGTTAAAAAAAATTATTAATTTTTTCCATAAATAAATTTTTTACTTAAAAAAAATAGTTAACTAATTATGCGCAGCGTGCATAAAATATAAAAACCACGCACATATGTGGAGTACTGGGGAAATATTTAGATATTGGCTACATGTATTGCTACGCGGTTCATGGCAGGGCCTCTAGGGTTAATTTGAGCATAAAAGTACATTATGAGAAATAATTAATTTTATTAGAAACCAAATCCACTACATGTGGTAAAATAGGCTAAGGACTAAACCAAGCTCATGGATCGCGTTGGCTTAGAGCTATGCAACAAAGAAAAAGGTTAGTGCTTACATTAGATGAGAAAAAATAATAATTTTAATAGACACCAAACCCACTATATCGATAAAATCTAGTACATATTTAAAACCGTGTAAAATAAATAAATATATTTTTCAAAAAACTCTTCTTTAATTAAAATGGAAAAGTTTTCATCCGGAGGTATTTATGTCCAGTGATGCCTGGAATTCAATTAGTAGAACCAGTTCAACTCAACATATTCTTTAATTTGATAAATATCATATAATAACAATTTTTTTAAATAAATCGCAGATCCGCGCCGATTTGTCGCCGCGCCAAGTTTTCCAGAATTGACGAGTAACAATAATAAATCTAGTATTAAAGCCTAATTATTTTTAAAATTTTCTATACCTCTACAGAATAAAATCTAAAATTCTCATAAGAGTGGAGTTTTTAAGACTTCATAGGCAAAATCGATAAAAACTAGTTAAAAAAATGAAAAATCTTTTTAATACTTTAGATGGCCTTTTATTTCAATTAACATATTCTTAATAATGTATCTATATGATTATTTCCATATAATAACTTAACTACTACGTTCGTGTCTTATAGAAAAACTATTATATTTTATTATGTATTTATATAAATATCAGAGACCTGCAGAGGTACCATTTACACGGCCCGGTCCGGATTAAAAAAATTTTGGCTCGGCCCGGATTTTTTTTCAAATATTTTTTACGGCCCGCCCTTTAAAAATTATAGGTCCGGCCCGACCTGGATCTTTTTAAAATTATATTTGACCTGGTATATACAAAAAATTCATTTGGTATTTTATCATATTTTTTCGGCGATTAACATTTATAAGCAAGCATATTAGCTAATGTTGTTAAGCGGCTCGTTTTGAGCCGATTTTTAAAAACGGCTAACTCAATATTTTCGCCAGAAAAATATTGACTAAGCCTCGAATTTCGATACTATATGTCTAGACCTTTGCTCCTTCTATGAGCAAAATTTTCAGACTTGCATAATATTTTTCTGGATAAAAAACTGAGTTAGCCGTTTTTACTACATATTATTATCTTTTTTATTCTAAACAGATATTTAGTGTATTACAAATTGATACTATAAAAAATTTGGGTAAATAATATTTTGAGAATATACTATATTAATTGTATTTATAAAAAAATAAAACTGATATTTTAATCAAAAAATATAACATATATTATATAATAATGTATTTAATCCTTTGAGTATTTATTCCATGGCAGGAAAACTATAATTATATTATGTAATAGATCTATGAGTGTTGGCTAGTGTTAACTTTCACCAAACATAACTATATATAATCATTATAACCATATCTAATTGACGAATATAATAATTCATGTTGTATAAATTTTTTTAAAAAATAGGCCCGGCCCGGGTATTTTAAAAAAAAATTTTCAAGCCCAACCCGACCCAGGTTTTTAAAAAAAAAAATTTCAGGCCTGGTCCTGCCATTATTTAAAAATTTAAAATACAGCCCGGCCCTGGGCCTGGGCGGGCTTAGGGCCTCTGATAAATATTTCATTTTAAAAAAAATGTATAAAAATTGAAAAAACATTTAAATATATGTCAACAGTCGAAAGATTTTGGCATTCTAGCAAAATGACATTTTACAGAAACTGCACATAAAAAACAGCATGTGACGATGTCAGAAACAGGTGAAAAGGCTAGCAGCGAGGTCCAGAGAGGCCCTATTTATTAAAGGACAGTTGGGCACTTCCTCAAAAAATGTAGATATAAATTCTTTGTACTAATGTAAAGTTCGGAAACGTTCCAGGAAATTTTTGCATATTTGTGGTCAAAATTTCTGCCAATATTTAATTAAATCCTAATATTTGAATATCATTTTAAAAAGTTTCAAAGCATCATATCACAGTATTCTGATTTTCCTCAAGGCATTTTTATATAAGATTATTTTAATTGATATACTTATAAAATAGATTAAACATAACTATCGCAAATTTTAATATATTTAGTTAGTAATTTTTTTATTTATAAGTCAAAGGTAATCTAATTTTAAGTAACAAACTTTTTATAATTATAATATATCTTAAATGGAAAATTTTAAAATAGAAAATGTGACATGGGAATTTTATTATTGCTTTTATTACAAATGAGGACTTTATCAAAAATATGACCATATTTTCTATAAACAAGAAACTGGTATTAAAAAAATTTAATATTTTTGCAAATTTTGTGATGAAAGCTACACTCATAGGAATTCCACTAAAATGATATAACATTTAAGCAAACGCATATTTGTTATTTAAAAAAAAATTGCACCTATCTAATAAAATTCAGCAGTATATATAAAGGTGGCACAAACGAAGTAATAATTATGGATGAAAGTGATAATGAAGCATCCCCATCAACTTTACAAGTATCAAGATCACAAGTAGCATTGAATCCAATAAATTCAGTTCTAACTCACTCTTATCAAAATAAAAAAATATTTAGATTTAATGTACATAACTAACTAAAAACAATGAATATTATTTTAGTACGACCTATATTTTCATCAGATTGTCCATTTGCAATTATCTTATAAAATCTCTTCAAGATACACGATTAGTGAGAATTTGTTAAATGAAGGATATGAAAAGGTAATGGAAAGCATCAAATAGCATCCAATTATTTTAATCCTCACCTGTTAATTTATGTTTGATATCAGATGGCTAAACAAACGTGAGAGGTGAAAGTATTATAAATTATATAATAACCACCATTCCCCCCTCCCTCCAAAGCACATTTTTTAGAAATCATTGAAACATGAACTAATAATCATACTTTTGACTATATTGTCACAGAAATTTTAATTTTGAAAAAGTTTCCACGTTAATTAATGATAATGCTAGTAATATGAAGACAACTTGATAGATAATTCAAGATTTACACCCAAAAATGGAATGTGCTGGATGCATTAAATTTGAGGAATTCATATCCTTAAATCAAAATCGAAGGCCAAATTCTTAATAAATTTGAAGTTGCCTAGAGATAGGAAATGGGGTAGGGCATCAATTATGATAGAGAGGTTATCAAAAATTAAGGGACCTTTCAAGAAATAATTATTAATGTTTTGAAAGAGAAAACGCGTACAAATTTTAGATGATGATCTCTGGGTAGCCATTGAATATTTGTAACATATTATTTCCGATTTATACCCAGATCTGCATATTAGAAAACGATAAATCAAGTATATCACAAGTACCGAATTCACCTTCCATTATTTTAACATCAATAAAAATAAATATGAATTTTTTTGGCTCAGAAATATATATTACAGCGGGTGAAAACGTAAATAGTTTTATTTGGAATATTCATTTTACGGCAAACACATCTGATTCTAGTTTCAATGATTATGAACTAACCAATAATGAGATATCATCTGGCATGGTTACAGTTAATTCCCTAATTGCAGAATTCTATCTTGATCAGTTGTTTTAGCCATTCTCGCAGAATTTCGATCAGAGAGTGGTTTTGGGGAAAGCGTTAAATATGGGAAAGTGCAAAGCATGTTCAACCTCTGATAGGGTGAAAAGGCCTTTATCTGCACTATGGATGTACAGATATTTTTTAATCGGCCAATATTATAAAATTAGCCGAACCGATATAAAATAGCGTCTTTAACAAAAATAAAATGTTATATCTAAAATCATTTATTTTTATTAATAAAATCCAAATCCATATTTTTTTAATAATAATAATTAATTAATAAACATTCTGCCATATTGTTATTTTTTGCGCATTGTGTTTATAAAATTGTGCGATAATCTCTTCAGAATCTGATTTTAGTAAAGCTGGTGATATAAAAAGTTACCATCGCAGCAGGCTGATTTCTGATAAATTGGAGATTTTGGTATTTCTAAAAAGAAATCTTCGATATATTAATGTTAAATATTATTTTAAATATTTATTTCAAATTTCATAATATATTTGCTTATTACTTATTATGTATATAAATTAATGTCATTATTTATTATATAAAAGTAATTTAACAATAAAAATATTTTATATACTTTTAGAATTGCAATTGAATTGAATATAAACTATAACTGATCATTATAATTTATTTAAATGATGTAAGTTATGGTATAGTTAGATTATAGATGTTATACTGATAAAAAATATATTAAAAATTAAAACCATTGGTATCTTTGCAGAATACAAAATTAGATCGAGCCGATATCAATTTAATATCGGGAATATCGGATCGGCCTCCAAAAAGTGGTATAGATACACTCCTCGTCTGCACCAACCTATAAGTCTGATAGCTATCCTCCGAAGAATGCTGCTTCGGAGAGAATTTGGTCTTGTTTTAGAAGAAACCATCCAAAAAATCGTAATAGTCAGCAATAAATGCGTGGAAAAGTTAACTAATTTATACTTACAAAGGACTTAGTACCCTTAATTCTTTGTTTAAAAAAAGTTTCATTGGAGTTAAGGCAAAGTTAAATTATATTTATCTGAAGAAATAAGTTCTATTAACATATTCATTATAAAATAGATTATAATATTAGAGAATATAAATTAATATACCTTGATCGATTGAATATTAATTATATTAACAATCTTGATTGATATTTTTAAAAAGCTGATAACAGTGTCTACTACATGACAAGTATTGACTGGAAGAAAACTCCCCTCTAAAACCTATACCTACCCCATTTAAAATGTTTCGCCACCAATTTTTAATTATAATGATCCCTTCAAAAAAATAATCTAAATTATCAATATTATCTGTATCAAAAATGGGAATGTAAGATCCAGAAATAAGTTTTATTTGATAAATATTGAGTAAAGATTGTATGCAATACATAAATTTGGTCGATGTTTAGCAATATCATTGTATTTATAATAGGTTTATATTATAAAATAATATCTTACAGCAATATATTTTGCCCTATTTCGTTAAATATTTAATAGATCACCAACAATAAATCCGATCTCTAGCCTACTAACTACCCCCCTAAAAAATTGGAAGCAAGCTGACCTACTCCACCCGCTCATATAGATTCTGTATCAATCAATTTAATAAATGTTTGGATTAAAAATAGTTTTAATAATATTTGTAATGATAAGAATAAAGATAGTTTAAAAGATAATTAATAATAACCATGTAAGATAGATTCTATTTAATATAAGAGTTATGAAAACTAGTCTCGAATAGATCGGATACACATACACTATGAAACAGTAGGTCCAAACTGTTTTTTATTTTATGAGTACAGCCGCACTCTAATCTAGTCTGAAAATTATAGTTACTTTGTTTTCAAATGCTCTTATGGCCAGGCCTTAATCCCGGCACTTTAATATACTTGGGCCAGGCCTGAAAATTTTTTAAAAAAAATACCCTAGCCTATTATTTCAAACCAAATATTTTAAATAGCCATTATTAGCTATAAAAATTAAAAATAAATATAATATAAAAAATCCAGGCCAGGCCTGGAAATATAAAACCCGGGCTGTGAAAAAAAATATAGGCAGGAAGTAAATAATATTTCTGCAAGATAAATATATACTTCTTTTTTTAAACTTTTGCAATTTTATTTGTTTATTAATAAAATTAAAATATTATATGATAAATCGTAAAATTTTTATAATCATTCAAATTTTTTCCAGATAGCCTTCGAAAATAATTTCGGATAAGTTAAAAATTATAGTATCTGCTAAAATAGGTCAGATGTAGGGTTATAGGCCAAGCCCTACCTCAAATAAATTGTCTCATTCATGATAGTAAGAGAAATCATAGCTATTTTTGAACTTATGAAAAGACTGAGATGTAAATTACAAATATTACAAAATGAACAAATTTTAATATAAATTATACAAAATCGAAAAGATAAATTTCTAAACTTTGAAATATTATAATTTCATGATAGGGTTATATTTATAAATAAAGTTAAAATAATAGTTCGAAAATTAAATATAATTTTTTAAATAAAACTAACTTGTAGAAAGTTTAGGGATTATTTTAGAATCCCTGGTATCTTTCCGATACTCGTCCAAATCAAACTCTTCTTTATAAGCGCAATTAGCCTTGAATTCCGCATTTTTGCTAAATATCTGCTGAAATGAGATGGCTAACTAGCGTTAAATGGACATAATTAATATAAGAAGCATAATAAAAATTATCTTAATTGTTAATATTTATATATAAATTGAAATACGGGTAAAGGTGAAGATGATTCCTTTATTATATTCCCTCCAATCAAGTGTATTAGGACGTCTTGATCAGTTGTAAAATCGTTTTTAGCGGGTAAATTAACGAGGTTATCATTACTGTCCGATGATATCGCTTCAGCTCCATTAATAATCTCCTTATCTGTTCTTACACTTTGGATATTTGTTATAGAACTATTATTTAAAGTTTTTTCAGGGTAAGATAATTGGAAAAGTTTAGAATTGAGTAAATTTTGGTGTTCCTTGTGAGGAAATGTTGTAATCGTTTTAACCATGGGATTAGAAGTTATTGTACCTTGACAGGCTTTAATTTCTGGTAAATAAAGTGAAGACCTAAAGTCGGTCTTTGGAATAAGCTGTTTTAATGGGGTTACATTGCAGACTCTATTGGAGTTGTAAATATATGAATCCTGATTTGAAGATATGAATGAGGATGCTACTATTGAAATTGGATTATTTACTTGATTTACATATAGTGGAACGGAGCCACCTATTTTTTGACACAAAGGTTTGGGGTCTAAAACTGTTAGTGATTGCTGATTGTTAGACAATAGATTGAGATTATTTAACAAAAGAGGTGGATTTTGCAAATTTGAATTATTGGTAAGATTAATGATATTAGCATAATTTTGTGGATTTTGAACATTAGATAAATTGGTCTGATTATGATTCATAGAATTATTAACATTGTGACTAATAATGAAAAAGCTTGGCGAGTTACCCGAAGCTAATTGACCTAAAGCTGCTAAATTGTTAGGGGCTGCATAACCAATTATATTGTTGAAATTTGTGTTTCCATTCAAAGACGGGTTATTTAAAGCTATTATATTGTTGTGGTTATTAGAAGGATAATAATTGTGAAAATTTGAGACAGCAGATGGCACCTGATTACTGCTGTAAAATTGATTTGTACCAGGCGAATAAAACAATAATTGGGGAGGTTTGTGGACATTTAAATTAGCGAGAGCAGTCAATGGCTTAATTTTGGGTGTTGAAATCATACAATTACGGTTAGATTTAACATTGATATTATTCAAGCGTGATACTGTGTGTTTATTTATATTATTCCTTTTCACAGGAAAAACTGTGGTAGTGGGTGAAGCTTTAAAAAGCGAAATAGGGACATTATTTTCAAATGATAAATCCTTTTCTGGGTTGCTATTATCGTTGAAAATTAGTTTTTCCTTTATGATAACATTATTTATACTATAATCAAACGAATTTGACAGGCTATCCAATAAACTCAATGGATTATTAAGAGTAGAAACGTTTTGATTTGTAAAATTTTTAGAATAGACCTCATCAGAGTGGCTAAAATCGCAAGTTTTATCTAAATCAATATCATCAATCTTTTCTAATTCACATGATAATTTGTCATTTATCGTGCTATAAACATTTAATTTAGTATTTGACAAATCATCAGGCTTCATATTAGCAGTACATTTATTTGGTGAAAGTATATTATTTCCTCTGCCAATCAAAATATTATTATTTATATTTTCATAATTTTTATCAATTTGGGTGTTTGTGATATAAACTAGTTGATCATTGATAGTAGAACCAGAAATGTGATTTATTATATTAGAACTAGCAATGGGATATATAACATTGGAAACAGTAACATTATTTATAACATTGGCATGAGCAATGGATATAAAATTGGAACAAGCATGGGGATTCATATAATTATTTGAAGTGGTGACTGTTGAACAATTGAGACTCATACTTTGTGATGGCAAAATTGATGATATAATACTATTAAATGTCTTGGAATCAGAAGATGCAAGCTGATTATCTATTAATACCGAATTTTGAGTAGATAAGGGTGGATAAGGAATATTTATTTCCATTGATGTCTTGTTGCACATCGTTATTGAATGATTATGATATAAATAATTATATCCTGTCATGTCTTTGTTATTTTCATTTTCTAGATGTTCATGCGGGACACCATATTTGGTTTTGGGGAGAGATAGCATGTCCACTTTTTTATCTTTGGAAACAACATGACTTCTTGATTTATTCATTTTATTTTTTTTACTCTCAATATTGTTTATCATCATAGATGAGTGTTTAGTACTAAAGTCAAGTAGTGCCTTTTTGATTGGTGAATTGGATATCACTGGGTCAGCTATATATAGATTGGAAGTAGTGGGAGATATATGCAGATTTGACATGGCAGAAGCTGATGTATATAGATGGGATATGGTTACATTATCTGAAGTGAATATTACAGCGCTAACTTGTTGGGGTAATTCTCTGGTTAAAAGTGTATTATGATGATATTCCTTTCCATTGTTGTCGTAGTCTAAAATTTTGTCAGACATAACATTGGTTTTCAATGGGTTGGGAACTATGGATGCCTCAAATGTGGGTTTATTATTGGCTGCTACTGTGTAAGATAGTTTGTTGAGAGATTTCAAATTAAGTGATGAAATGTAAGTATAAAGAGGTTTGGGGGCAATTGGAATGGGAGTTTTGAGGTTTTTGGTACTATTGTTTGGTAATATAGTAAAATCATTTATATTTGGTATAGGTATATTTTTAGAGAAATTTTCAAATTGAAATTTAGAAGATGAGGAAAGAACACGGGTAGTATGAGCTTGGGGTGCATTATATTCCCCTACCATAGTTATGTTCAACCCTTCATTTAAAATTTCACCTCCTGTTAACCCATTTTTACTGTAAATAGAATTAAATATGCCTTCCTGTGATTTATACGGATATATACAATTTCCAGGTACATTATGTTGTATTTGTAACCCCGTATTTCTTTTATTAAAGTCAATTATTGAACTAGAATGACCATTGGTATTTAAATGAGTATCTGATTTTAGGTTATTCACTTTCTTTTCTTTTAATTCTGACCTTGCACTTGATTTTTCTTTGCTTTCCTTTTTATTATTATCTATATCCAATTTTAAATGTTTTAATTTTGGTAAAAATTCATATTCATCTTTCTTACTAACTTTTTTTTTCTTGTGGGATGATGTTGTCAAGGTATTGAAAGATAAATTACTATTTTTTATCATTGGTTTTTCAGGCGAATAAATAGGAGCTTCACATATTGTGTTTTTCATATTTAATTCATTTAGAGCTCCAATATGTTTCAATAAAAATTGTTGCATTTGTTGTTGCTGATGAACAGCTGCGGCCAATGCTGCTTGTTGAATTAAAAATGAGCCTTGAGGTAAGATTATACCATAGGGTGATATATTTGAATTTTTACAATGTTGAGATTTTAATCTGGTTTCATTATTTTTAGAATCTATACCATGCAATATAGGTGCTGGTGGCTGGACAATAGGAAATTGATGTGTTTCTGTTATTGATTTTGAATTGTTTGGATTATTTGAATAATTTAGGTCTTCATATGACATGCTTGTAACACAATTATCTTATACTTAAATAAAAAATAAATAATATGTGTAAAATTATTTAGAGGAATGTGGTTAAAGTTAGCTCACAAAATTTGGTGATTATATTTTAAGCATTAATAAATTTATATAAATAAATGTCAAAAAATATTATATTCTGCAAATAAAAAAAAATGGGCATACCATTTATGTTAAAAGGAATTTTAATAAAATTATGTTTAGTTTATAATTTATATCTAAAATACCTTATAAATATTGTAAAATATAAATAATATATTCCATAAGAATTAAACTGATTGAAGTTTATTCATTAACTTACCACGCAAATTCTATAACTATCATGTATAGAATAATCTATTGTATATATTGAAAATTAATAATTCATCATTTGGAAATGGAATCAAAATACAATAAAATTAGAATTTAAAAAATAAAATGGTTTTAAGTAACAAACATTTTTCCATAAACAAAAAAATATCTCATTCCTGATTGGTTAATAAATTCCTATAAATAAAGATTGACATCAAATGCTATTAATTTTTTTTACATAATGCAAAAATAGCATACTATTTATTCTACACAATGTGGATAAATAAATAAATTTATTATTAAATTAAATTTGTTTATTTTCTCATTTAAAAATAAAATCGTATGAATTATTCAATTCAGTATCAATTAAATTTGTTATTGTTATTATTTTATATTTTATATAAGCACTTTTGTGAATATGTTTGATTTCATTATATAGTATTGATCAGGAAATATATTTTTATTTACTATGCATAATTTTTGGGGATCTTTTTTGGGTAAAAATTGTAAATTAAATATTACGGGATTTATATGCACATATTTTTTGTTTGCCTGGAGGAAGCTTGTATCAAACTATTTTAAAAAAAATTAAACTTAATAAAGTAAAAATATTGTCAAATGTGAACCTTTGAAATTTGAGCAACTGCTTAAATCGAGAAAGTTTTTGCGTATAAAATTAGCCTGGAAGTCGACCCGAAGGAGAATTCAGTTTCAGATCTAAAATTTTGAAAGAATTCGATAATTTTAAACTCATTCCAAAAAATAGAATGAAAAATAACTTCTCTAAAATACTATGCGATTAGGGCCGATGATCTCTGTAAAGACGTGACTGCGAAGCAAATGATCCTGCCAAGGAGGTATTTTTTCAAAGTATATCCTCCACAAACAAATAGTTTTAATTGTTTTGTATATTACAATTATATGATTGTTTTGTATATTACAATTATATGCAATGAATGATTTAAGTTAAAAAAAGTAATCTTTAAGAATTTTGTTAACTCGCATTTATTTTAAAATCAAATTAAAACAATGTCTAAAAATAACTGCCCAAGAAAATAGGTGTTTAATGAATTAATGTTTCATCAAGGTCAGGTTTGTCAGGTCTCCCAAGAAGACTATCACAATTTTAAAATAATGAAATGTACCACATTGATCAAATTTCCATAACGCAATTTTTATATTTCTTAAGATCTACAAATCTACCATATTAATATTCAAAAATAAATTTACTAAATATTAAACAGGACTGAGAACCCAAACACTCAAGATTTTACTGAACTCAAACACCCTTTTTTAAAATTCAGGGTTCAAGATCAAGACCTTTTTTTTAAAGTTTATTGTGAAAATCATTTTTATTATATTTTATTATACAATTTTACCACCATATTTTGCAAAAAAATTTATCAAGTAATATATAATTTAAGAAATTATATATTTTTTAATACTTTTTTTATTTTACAAAACAAATCAAATATAATTAATTTATAGATAGTTATAAAGTAAGTTAATCTAAAAAATAAGGAAGTAATATAACATAAAAAAAAATAAGGAAAAAAAAGTAAGTCTAAGTAAACTCCTTGGAAAGAAGACTACTGTTAAAGCTTACGTAATTATAGCCATGGTCAGCCTTGCAAATGTGATGTCCTAAATCTTTAAAAAGGGATAGGCAAGTTTACCGAAGGTCGTTAAGATAGTGAATATAATTGAAAGGAAAAGGACGAGAGAAAGAACGAAGTCACAAGGTAAAATAGTTTTATTAAAAACAAGTTGCAGTGCACTATCAAAGTGGGGCATAAAATAATCTGTATTTTAATTTTACCATCTAGATTTTGATGCTCTTAAATAAAATTAAAAAAAAACAAATAAAATATTATTTTTTAAATTGTAGTAAAAGTTGATAATTTTTTAAAATAATTATTATCATTTAAAATTTTTAGGAAAAAAGCATTTTAAAAAAGATGTAAAATAAAAATTATTTTTATAAAAGTCGAAACTAGCCATAGTCCTACGAAAAGTAGACCTAAAGAACTCTAGTAAAATCTATAAGGGGAAAGCCCACCTAATAATGTCCCCCTCTCCCAAGCAAAAACCTGGCTATGCCTATGAATTAAAATAAATACATGTTTTATAGTGTTAACTGTTAAGGTTTATTTATAATATGTTAAAATAAAATATATAAGGTATGAATAGAAATAAATAGTATCAATTTAAAATTAGGATCCTATTTAATTAATTTTAGAAAAATATAACTTGTTAACCAAAAATAATCGGCGTAACCAAGGGGGCCGGAATACCTTTTCTCTGACAAATTTGTAGATTTTTATAAGTAATTTGAAGTTAACTAATTTATCCGTATGCATTAGAGACCTGTAAATTGTATTTATTTCGACCCGAAGTCCGATGGCAAAAAATATTTAGGACTTTAGCCCTTTATAATAAATAGATTTTGGATATATATCTCAATATAGTTATCAGGTTTCCTATCATAATGTAAGGCTCCTGCAGTTCTGCAGTTTTTTTATAAATAATCCCCACTGCAAAATTTTCCGCATTATTCTCTTATATTTTTAAATACATTAAAAACAAAAAAGTGTCTAATTCGTATCGTTTTCATCTATCCAGTCCTCATTATGTTTTTTATAATGGCTTTTTCATATATTTTCCTTAAAAGCCAAGTCTAATAGTCATACGAATCATAGATGCCGACTTCATGAGTGCAGAGAGGGGCCTTCGCCCCCAATGACAAATTATAGGGTAAATGAATTATTATATCATTCAAAAATGAAACAGAGAAAGGAAAAAAAAATTATTATTATATTTTTTCTATATTGTTATGCTCCTTCGCAAGGAATAATGTTTACGGAAAAATTAAAAAAAAAACAAAATTGCAATCCATGAAAAAGTTAAACATCGCATTGATTAAAATAATATCCTCCATTCATTATCTTGCTTAGAGGGTTGACATTAAGATCATATAAAGTAGAAGACACAAATTCATGAAATTATTGAGGCTTATTACTGAGGATCATTTCGATTTAAAAGAATATTCTCACAAAATGTTTCATAATTTTCAAAGGAGACTTATGTAACCTATAAAATCGGCTACTACTCGATAATCGTAGATGAAACCACGGATATCAATCATAAAGCAGTTATGTTTTCGTTCAGGCGCGTACGCAGAAATTTGGTCTGGGGGGGGGGGATAATAAATTTTTTTAAGAAATATTATTGTTATTTAAAAATATCAAGCATAAATTTATTAGGACTAATAACTAGTTCTAATACACAATTTTAAATTATATGAATTATAAAAAAATTATATATATAAACCGACACATAAAAAACTATAAAATAAATGTGAATTAAAAAATATAAAGTGAATATAACCATCATATGAATCACTTATAAATGACCCAAAATAGAAATTTGAAATTTTTGAGCCTTTAAAATTTATATATAAAGTAAAAATTTAATTTTGGAAATATAAATATTAATACACAAAAAGTTTCTTAGGAATAATTGTATTTTGTATTATACTTACAATGTAAAATCCAATCTTCGTTGGGATTGAGCTAATTTTTCAATTACTCATCCTTGCTTGGCGTCAAATGCTTATAAATATTTAAAAGATCCAAACCATTCAATCCACTTTCAGAAGTTGTACTTCTTAGGTATGTTTTCAGAGAACTGCAGGCCCGGTTCCCGGGTTGGATCGTATTTTAATTTTTTAAATGCACCCAGGCAGGGCCCGAAATTTTTTTAAAAAATCCGGGCTCGGCTATATATTTTAAAACCAAATATTTGAAATTAGCTATAAAAATCAAAAATAAATATAATTTCTTTAAAAAAAACCCGGGCCGAGCCGGAAAATTTTTTTTAATAAAATCCAGGCCGTGCCCTGCAAATTGTATCTCTGCAAGGCTCTGTTACTCTTCTTAAAAAAGAGAATGTTCTCTCATTAGTTTACTAATGGGAAGAGTTGCTAATTTATATATATATATATACAATCATTTTAATTCATTGGGAATAAAATCTAAAATGTGTTTGAAATTATACAAAGCATCCATAGCATTTTTTGAGACTATATCTTAGTGAATCTTTTAAACATAGTTATTCAGCTAATAAGGCATCAAACAAATATTATTTTTTTTCTATCACCATCTGAAAAAGATTGGGAAGGCTTTTGTGGAAGTAATATCTGCAGATTGGTAAGTGCTGCATGATGAATTAAAAACCATTCATTTATTTGGATTATAGTTTTATAATACTTTTCTACTGATCTTATACTAATGTTTTGACGATGAGCTTGCCTTGCTGTAAATCGAGTGAGACAAATATTAAACACGTATAGCTCGATAACATATAAAATTGAAATTCTTCATCAACATTAGCCCTAATTTCCTTGAGTTCTAATAAAATGCTCTCCGCTATTCTCATCTTCTTAATCAAGTCAATGTCATATTTTTGAAAAGTATTACATAAAATAGTTGTATAATTAAATAATACATTCTAATGAGAAAAAAAAATTGAAATAAGTATTGAATCCAATAATTTTCTTGCTTCTGAGGAAATATTTCTTTCAGGCCATTGTGATATTTCAGTAATAGCATTAATCGGTTCTTCTAACTCCATAAAAGCTGTTACTGCTTGATGGCGGAGACTCCATCTCGTTGGACAGGCTTGCACTTTCTTTCTCCCTGTTGGACAAAGAGTTTCAGAAAAATTATTATTTGACTAGAAATATGAAAATGGTAGATAAATAATACGCCACTAGAAATTTGAAAATAATAGGTAAATATTACGCCAATGAAAACTTGAAATCGAAATTAGATGATAAATAACTTAATAGATGAATGTGATAAATAAATGTAATTAAATATATATTTAATATGAGATAGGAATAAATATTAACAAATATAAATTAATATAAACATTAATATTTTTGAAAATCCGGCATCTGCATTTTTTGGCTGGTGCGTACGCCAATGATTTCGTTATTTGGAAGAGGATTTAAATATAAATGAAATATTTTTCGAATTTTATGAAGCATCAGAAACAAATTCTGAATATTTATTTAACATAATCGATATATTACTTATATGTTCTTTTGACATCAAAAAATGCA